AACTGCTTGTTCCCACAGTAGTGAGTCGGTGTGGCTCCCCTTCTGCCCGGAAGGGTCGAGCCCCGGCTAGGACCTATTACAGTAACGTATTCCTGTACTTATCTATACTCACAGCTGGAAAGTTTTTCCTAATATCCAACCTAAACATCCCATGATGCAGAACAAGCCAGTTACTACTTCTCCCTACCCTAACCTTAAGAAGGAGAGGATAAGAGAAGATCAGATTCCAAGACAACGACCACAGTCAGTGGTGTCAGACAGCCGACATGCAGAAGAGGAGGAGGAGGATGGAGCTGGTTCTGAGCTCTGCCTAGGGACAGGTCATTAGAGACTTCAGCAAAAGCAGCCTCAGTGAAGTGCTACAATCTGTGACTCCCTGAATCCTCACCTTCCTATCCCCAACCAGATCCTCCTGGGACGGGTTGGGTCACAGAGACGCCCTTGGGACTGTCACCTGAAGTGCTGGAACTATCTCTGAGCCCATAGCTCTGTCAGTTAGCGATGTGAAAAATCTCATCCCTACCTGACATAAATTGCAGCAAAAGCTGTAGTGTTGATGCAGTTACAGTGGCAAAAAAGTCCATTAAACAGAAAATCAAGGAAATTAAACGCCCATAATGTACATGAAGCAGAGTGAAGGTTGCCAAGTGCTGCTGCGGGCCCTTCCAACAAGTGGATGGTGGTGAAAAATAAAACCTCTGAAAACCAGGAAATGAAGAATTAAACTACACACCACCCCTGCAATGCAACCTTAACTCTGCCCTTACCCCCTAGCCCTGGAGCTGGCAAATGTCACTGGGAATAGGTCAGTAAGGATGGTGCAAACGTTAAACTATCCAATGAAGGGGCCAATTTTCCATCTCTTGAAGGCTTCAAGTCAGGACAGGATGCCTTTCCGGAAGATGTTTTCATCAAACACAAAGTATTCAGCGCACTACAACGGTAACCAGACAAAACTCCATGGCCTGTTTTACACAGGAGGTCAGACTAGATGACCTAATAGTCTCCCCCGGCCTTAAAATGTATTGATCGCCAGAAGGAAGGACTAAGAACATGCCACTGTGTGTTTTATGTTCCTCAGATTTGAACCCCAGCATTTCTCCGCAGGCACTCCAGCAACGTGCCCTGGGCCAGCTGTAGCTTTATATGAATGGCGGAGGGACTAGTTGGAGCAGCCTGGCAGAGCTGTGACATGAAGAGAAGTGCACGTGAAACTGGAAGGACCAGGTATTCCTCATTTCAGTGCTGAGTGGTGTAGGGGGCATCAATCAAGGTGCACAAGGATGTGTTCTTGCCACAAGGATTGTCAGCAGGCTGGTGCCATACATGCTAGGGGTGTCCGGGGCTCACTGAGTGGTAAGTGAAGGCAACGACTCAGAAGGAATCCTCATTGGAAGGGTAAAGAGGTGGTGACATTATGAAAGTCCAAGACGGATTGTGTGCAGTAGGCTCAGTGTCTGAGCGCAGGCCAGGGCAGGCACCTTCTGTTCCCTACATCGGACCGATCCCCAAGTTTTGCCTTAGCAAAGAGACGGTGTTAGCGTTCGTGCTACTGCGCTCTGCTCCCATAGTGTTCTGTCGCGGGGAGGGCAGAGTGCTGGTCTATGGGTCATAGGCCTGTCGGGGTGTCGCTGAAACAGGGCAAAGCTGAAGGTGCACTGTGAACCTTAACTCTTCATTTCCCCTTTTAAGAACTGAGGGGACAGGAATCCTTACCCAGCGAGGTCACATTCTCATAGTTCTCCTGCATGACGTCTCCGTAGAGGGCTCTCTGAGCGGGGTCCAGCAGAGCCCACTCTTCCTCAGTGAAATACACAGCCACCTCCTCGAAAGTCACCGGCCTCTGGAAGAGCAAGAGTCCAACACTCAGTACCTGCTGCCCAGTGACAACCCGACCGTTCACAGGGGAGGAGGGCCAATCACATGGAAGCTCTGGGAGGCAGGATCCCACCCCCTCCCCATCAGAGCAGCCAGGAGACATCAGGGTAAGGGGAGAAAGAGAGAGAGCCCCTCACCCCTTCTAGCAGACAGAGATGGCAAGGGTCTTCACATTCAACACGCATCTATCAGCCAGAAGCTGATACAGGTGATGGAGCCCCCAGAAGTCACAACTTCACCCCCTCCCTTTCTCCACCCTGCCCCCCCCCCACCTCCTGACCATCCCCAGAAGCACCCACCTCCTATGTCTTTACTGCCCTTCTCCCGCCAACAGGAGCCCACCAGCAACTCCCCGATAATCCCTACCTGAGCTGGCTCCATGGCAGCCATTTTCCTTCCCTGGTCCCTGGAAGGATGGGACGTAACGCTGCAGCCTGTCAGGGCAAGAAGGGGACGTGTCAGAACAGGACAGGAACGTCACATCTCAATTCCCCCTGGCTCTTTCCCCACAGACTGATGTTCTCGACTCTATCATGCAAATAACAGAAATATTCAAAACACAATTAGTAACGGGGGGAGGACGGGGGACTTTAACTATGCAGACACCTGTTAGAAAAGGACCCCGCTCGATATGCCCTTCCAGCTTGCCTGTGAACCACTGATAACTACTCTCTGGGGACAGTTTTCCAACCAGCTACGCACCCACCTAATGGTAGTTCCATCTCGGCTGTATTTCTCTAGTTTGTTTAGGAGAAGTTCATGCATGACAGGATCAAAAGCCTTACTAAAGTCAAGATACACCACGTCTACTGCTTCCCCTCTATCCACAAGCTTGTTACTCTGTTTAAAAAAAAAAAAAAAAAAGCTATTAGGGTGGTTTGACACGATTTGTTCTTGACAAATCCATACTGACTGCCATTGTCTAGGTGTTTGCTAACTGATTGCTTAATTATTTCCTCCATTATCTTTCCGGGTACTGAAATTAAGCCGACTGGTCTGTAATTCCCCAGGTTGTCCTTACTCCCCTTTTTATAGCTGGGCACTATATTTGCCCTTTTCCAGTCACCTGGAATCTCTCTTCCATGATTTTATTGAAGATAATCGCTAATGGCTCATATCTCCTCAGTCAGCTCCTTCAGCTTTCTAGGGTGCATTTCATCAGGCCCTGGTGACTTGAAGACGTCTACCCTAAGTAATTTTTAACTTGTTCTTTCCTTATTTTAGCTTTGACCCAACCTCATTTTCATTGGCATTCATTAAGTTAGGTGTCCAATTGCTAGTAAACTTTTTGGTGAAAACTGAAACAAACGTCATTGAGCACTTCTGCCATTTCCACATTTTCTGTTACTGTTCCCCACCCATTGAGTATAAAATCAGAAAGATTAACTCTCAAAATAAGTTGCACCTAGCAAGGGACATAGAAGGCAAGGGGGGGGGAGGAGGGATAGCTCGGTGGTTTGAGCATTGGCCTGCTAAACCCAGGGTAGTGAGTTCAATCCTTGAGGGGGCCACTTAGGGATCTGGGGCAAAATCAGTACTTGGTCCTGCTAGTGAAGGCAGGGGGCTGGACTCGATTACCTTCAAGGTCCCTTCCAGTTCTAGGAGATGGGATATCTCCAATAAATAAATTAAAGGTAGGGTACTACTTAAATCACAGGGGGGAGGGGGAATCATACCATTTTCAAGGGTTGGTCATGGCATAAAACTGAGTAACCCATGAAAAAGTGTGATTTCTCCACAGCATTTCTCAAATAGGGGCCCAGACCCAAAAGGGGGTTGCAAGCCTACTAAGGGGTCACACTATTGCCACCCTGACTCCTGAGTTGATGCTGGCAGCGGCGCTGCCTGGAGCTGGGTGGCGACAGAGTGGTGGATGCTGGCCAGTGCCAGCTCTGAAGGAAGAGAACTAGAGATGGCTTAGAACTGCCACCCTTACGTCTGTTCTGTGGCGGCGCTGCCTTCAGAGCTAGGCACCAGCCAGCCGCTGCTGCTCTCCACTCTGCCTTCAGAACTGGGCAGCCGGAGACTAGATTTCATGGTCTGTGATGCAAATTTCCACCCTCATTTTTCTACTCCCCAGACAGGCTTTGTGCGTAATGTAATAGCTGAGTATCTAGTTAAGAAAAATCTGCGGGAATAATATAAATAGGTCTGCTGTGGTTTTTCAAATTACGGCAATTAATAAAGGTCCATTATTACTTTTCCGCAATTTTCCAAGCCTTCTTTGCAACTCAGCTGCAATTATTTGAAGAGCATCCCGCGATTCAGTAGGGTCTTAATTATTACTAACCAAGAAGAGGAAGACACAGAAACCACAATAAGGAAAGAACAGGTTAAAAATCTGTAGATACGTTAGATATATTAAAGTCAGCCATAAAATTCGTCTTAGGGTGCTCAAGGAATTAGCTGAGGCAATCTTGGAACCAATAGCAATGATCTTTGAGAACGCCTGGAGAACGGTGAAGACTGGAGAAGGGTAAACATAGTACCCATCTTTTAAAAGGGGAACAAAGAGGACTGGGGAATAAAGTCAAGCCTTACTTAGATACCTGTATCTGGAATGATCAAATGATTAATCAATTTGTAAGCACCTAGAATAGATGATAGTAAGGTGATAAGTTATAGCCGGCATGGATTTCCAAAACCCAATGCCAAGTCAATCTAATGTCCTGCTTTCATGGGGGTACTGGACACTGTAGACACGACATATCTTGATTTTAGTCAGGCTTTTGACACAGGCCTCCATGACATTCTCATAGCGAACTAGGGAAATGTGGTATACATGAAAGTGCTATAAAATGGGTGAAAATGTTGTTGAAAGGCTGTACTCAGACAGTAATCATTAGGGGTTCACTGTCCAACTGAGAGGATGTATACCAGGGGTCTCAAACTCAAATGACCACAAGGGCCACGTGAGGACTAGTACCTTGGCCTGCGGGCCGCATCACTGACACGCCCTCTGCTGCCCCCAGCCCTGCCCCCACTCCACCCCTTCCATGAGGCCCCGCCCCTGCCCCACCTCTTCACACACCAGGGGGTGCAGGAGGTATGTGGGGTGCAGCAGGGGGCTCAGGGCAGGGGTTCAGGAGGGGTGCAGGGTGTGGCAGGGGACTCAGGGCAGGGGGCTGGGGTGCAGGAAGGGTGCGGCAGGGGGCTCAGTGCAGGGGGTTGGGGTGCAGGAGGAATACGTTAACAACAGTGCCTGCTTCTGCCTCAGATCTCCAGGCCATGGCAAAATGGCTGGAGATTTTAAAACAGATTTTTTTTTCTAGATGGAGTGTTAACGCCCTTTTACTGAGAGAAAGGGAGGATTTACACTCACAAAAAAATGCACCACTTAATTAGCATTTGTGCAGCCCCAAGTACCAAACACACTGTGGCAGAGATTAAGCAGGTTCTGCCATGGTGGAAGCACTGTGCTAATTTGTTTCCAAGCTTCTATCTTTCAGGCTCTGAACCAGAAAATCAGGAGACCTGGTACCAGTTGAAGAGTTATAAAATACCATGGTTATAGTGTCATAACAAAGTCTGTGTTCAGTGTTGTATGTTGCATGTTCTGTGTCTGTCTCTAGTGGTGTCCTGTGCTAGCACTGGGTCTAGAAAAAGAGGGGATACTACACTAGACAGGGTAAATGTCTTTTCCTCTCTCTACTTCCCCCATCTCCATCCAACTTATCAATCACCACTTGTGTCCTAAAAACTTTGTTCCCCAGTGCATCAGGTTTATTTTTTTAGGTTCTCTCTGTGATGCAAATTTCCACCCTCATTTTTCTACTCCCCAGACAGGCTTTGTGCGTAATGTAATAGCTGAG